AGGGATTTTATAATATTAAACTTAATACAGGTTATTTAATATATATTTTAATTTGGCTTTTAGAGTTATCTATTGTATTGTACTGTTTTTATTTCCCTGTAAGCCGCCCTGAGTCCCTCGGGAGAAGGGCGGGGTATAAATGGGATTAAATAAATAAATAAATAAACTCTTGAGGAGTAAGTTGGTGGCAGTTGCTGCACAGGAGTTAACTGAGCTCCCAGATAACCCATCCTCACACAATTGGAAGTTTGCATTAGATCCCCTAAATTCCCAGTGGTAGATCACACTAATGATAAATGTGGGAGCTTTGTTCCTACTTATGTGGCGGGCATAAGTATTTTGCCCCCCCCCTTGTCCTCTCCTCCTCTGAGATCCCTGCAGCCCTCCTTAAGACAGCACATACTTTCTGATTCCTGCTGCTCGATCCCTCCCCCTCCCCCTCCCCTTGATGGCTTCCTACTTATGGGATGCAGGGGAAGGGAGCGCCATTTCATTACAGGTGGGAGAAGGAAAACTGGTCCAGGCAGTGAAAAGGGAAGAGATCAAAAGGGGGGGGGGCTTTGGAGATGAAAGCTGCTTTGGGTGGATGTTTTGGTCTGCAGCATGTGTTTCCCTTTCCCCTCCTGCCTGCCTTTTCTCTGTTTCCTAGAGTGCCTCTGGAAACCCGGGACGGGAGGGGGGGGGCAAAATGAATCTGCTCCTAGTGTGGAATCAAGAAGCTCCAAGGGGCCTTTTTTTTTTTTTTTTTTTTAAAGTTTTAAAACCTGCGTGAAAACTTTTATAAAATGTTTTATAGATGGCACATGGATCCTTCAACTATGTCCCGAATTTATGAGAATTATGAATCCAAGTGCTGGAGGTGTGGACAACAAGATGCAACTTTTTTTCATATGTGGTGGACTTGCAAGGTTATTAAGGCTTTTTGGATAAAATTGCGGTGGAACTTACAGCAAATTTTTAAAAAAAGAATTGTTTTTCTGCCTCAGTTCTTTCTCCTAGGTATCACACAAAATTTGGATGTAAAAGAAACGAACTTAACGTTGTACTGCTTAACAGCTGCCCGTTTGTTGATAGCTCAAAATTGGAAGAGTAAAGTTTTACCTACAATGGAGGACTGGAGATTGAAGGTTTCGTATCTTGCTGAAATGGCAAAAATTTCGGCTTATTTGAAGAATCATTCAAATGAACAATTTTTATCAATATGGAGAAGATGGATTGATTATATTCAAAAAAAGCATAGAATGGTGGAATATAATTTAGGTTTTTAGATAACTTGTTTCTTTTTTATCTATATATTTCATCTACTTATGTAGAATAATACTTTGTGGAGTTAGGGATATTAATAGTAGCTTACTTTTATTTGAATAGTATCCTGGGATTAGGTTTGGGAAGTCCAGGGGGGGGGAGGGGGGGGGTTTATAGCATTGTGATGTACTTGTGATGTGTTTTATGATGAAAATAATAAAAAATTTATATTAAAAAAAAAAAGAAGCTCCAAGGGGCCTTTTCTTGCAGTTGCTGTAGTAATGCCCCCCATTCTTCCTGCCCTGGCTGCTGCACCAAAAGCAGTTGATTATTGCTCAGTGGAACCAGCAGTGGGGTGGGAGGAAGGAATGGATTTCCCTTCTGCTGCCTCTGCCTCAGTGGACAAGACCTCCTTCCAAAAATCTCTCTTAAGATTCTGGCAGGCACAGCTCCAGAACTGAGCTATGCTGGCTCAGGAATTCTGGGAGTTGAAGTCCACGAGTCATAAAAGAGCCAAGGTTTCCCCTTCTGCCTTCTTCAGAGAGAGAAGCTCTGAAGGTCATTAGGATCAAATGTCCTGGAAGGACAGGGGTCCTCTTCCACACCCTCAGTGAATTTCAGCTGGAGGTAGAAAAACGGGCAGTGGCTCAGGCTGAAGAGGCAAATTGTGTGGGCCACATCACACACATGGACAACAAATGTCTACAAGTATAGCTCCCCTTGAGTATCACCTCAACTAATCCTTATTTTCTCCCACCCCATAAGCACTCCCCCCCCCCATACACAATCATATTAATTTTTCACAGGTCATGCTTAACCTAATCAGGCAACTTCAAGGGCTCATTTAAAGAAGAGAAAAAGTCAGGTCTCCCTTCAGAGCCATAGGTGGAGCACCCATGCTTCAAGACAAAATTTCATTTATTTGTAATTAGAAATAAATATTTCACAATATATAATTACATATTGTTTTTGTGATTAATCACTATGCTTTAATTATGTTCAATTTATAACAATGAAAATACATGCTGCATATCAGATATTTACATTACAATTCATAACAGTAGCAAAATTACAGTTATGAAGTAGCAACGGAAATAATTTTCTGGTTGGGGGTCACCACAACGTGAGGAACTGTATTAAAGGGTTGCGGCATTAGGAAGGTTGAGAACCACTGCCCTATACTATACCTGTACATTTGGTTTTTCTTGCCTAAATGTAGAACCTTACTTTTTTCACCATTGAATTTCATTTTGTTAGATAGCGCCCAGTGTTCAAGTCTGTCCAGGTCCTCCTGTATCCTAAGCCTGTCTTCTGGAGTGTTGGCTATTCCTGCCAGCTTGGTGTCATCCACAGATTTGATGAGTCCCCCATCTATCCCCTCGTCCAAATCATTGATGATATAGTAGATATATAAAAAGACAGAAACAGTACTAGGATTTGTAATATAAAAAAAAAGCCTAGGAAGCTGTAAATCTTACATTGAGTCTAATATTTGCTGAAGCCCTGCTAGTTTGTTGGGATTATGATTATTGTGTACATTTAAAAAGAAACAGAAAAAAAGAAAGAAAAAAAGGGAAAGAAAACAGAATATATTAAATTATGGGAACCTACACACTCACTGATTGCAACTAAACATTAAAGAAACAAGCAGGATACATAAATGGGAAGGAGAGCTGTGACGGACATCTAAAACCCATGATTTATGGGTTTAGCCGTGTAAGATAAGGTATCCTTAATATTGATACACTTGAACACATAACACTAAAGCCTATAAAGCTCCCACAGGACACCTCATTTTTTAAATTGATTGACTGACCCATTCTTTCCATTTCCAAGGCTACACAACCGCAAGCAACTCAGTGTGGCATCCAAGGAAGGTGTAGTAGCCAAAAAGCTAAGGAACCTCTGTTTTAAAGGCTTTCAGCGACTACAGCTTAGCAAATAGGGATTTTTGCAAAGGTTTGCCTATGGAGGTCCCCTCTTTTAGGGGAGTGTCATTAAAGCGTCATCACGCAAAAAGAAACAGGGCAGAAGGGTCTCTCCAACCAAGGAAGTGTCTGAGAATGTACAGAGCAGTGCTGCGGTCCTGGCATCAAAAAAGCTCACTTGTCCTCCTTCGCAGTTGAGAGAGATGCGGATCCTCGTGAGCTCCTCAGTCAGGACCAGTTCAGAGCGTACTGACGGAGAGTAGGTCCCGTATTTCTTTTCCCATTTATAAACCTGCCAGTGGCTGGCGTGCTCATCAAGATGCCTTACGTTCAATGCCTTGTCGGTAATCCCTACACGCCATCCTTTTGTATTTCTTACAGTAACTTCCCAGAAATGTCTCCCTGTTGAGAACGTCTGACAGCCAAGGACATATGGACAACCTTCAAATATCCTGCTGTTTAGGAAAGGATATATTTGTTTACGTGTCTTAAATACTCTGACGCTTTTTCCATCTTCGGGGATGCAAACGTGGCGAGGATGGTCTATGTATGGATCCAGAATTACCTCCACTGCAAACGGGAAGGAAGGAAGAAGAACAAAAGCTTAGGCTGCAGGCCTGGTTTGTGTTTTGACCCCCAATATATCAACCCTACGACCTCCACTCTGAAAGGAGTTCAGCTTCCAGGACTGGAAGATTCACTGATTTTATAAACGGCCCGTTGCCTTGTCTTTCCAAGCCTTCATGGTGCTTCACCCCCTTCTAACATCCCTGCATATCAATCTCTTTAACTTCCATCTTGCAGGTGGGAAGATTGGGATGGGGGGTGAAGAGTGGTTGGCTTTGCCTTCAGTGAGTTCCCGGGAGGGCCAAGGTTGAACAGGGATTCTACCTGGAGCTTTAATCCAGAAGATCAGGCAGAGCAAGAGGCCGTCATGTTTCAGTTCTGAACTGGCAGAGTCAGAGGGATCCCCCCACAGGGAACTTGGGGCACATGATGGAATGTGAGGAAGCTCTGCCCTTTTTTCTATGAGCATCAGGATGTCACAGGGATGTACAAAAGGGGAGGCTTCTGCACAGGAAACCTCTGCTTTCATCAATTTGATGGCTCACAAGGTGGAGACATCCCTGGTGCTTGATGTCTCTGGAGATTCTCAGTCATCCAGGTCATGGTTGTCCCAAAGGCGCTTTTTTTCACGAGGCAACGGGACTTCATTGTTTTTCTTCGAAGATGTTTCGCTTCTCATCCAAGAAGCTTCTTCAGCTCTGACTCTGACCCTCACCCCATCATCCAGTCAGAGCTGAAGAAGCTTCTTTAGATGAGAAGCGAAATGTCTTCAAAGAAAAACAAGAAAATCCAGTTACCTCGTGAAAAAAGCACCCCTGGGACATCCCTGGTGCTCCAACTTTGCTATTTGCTGTGACCCAAAGGACTTAATTTCTCTGCTCCCAAAGACCTGGTCTCTCACCAATTTATAGTCAGGCAG